CCTCTACGCTCTGCCTATTAACATACACCCCATGTTGGTCTAGCATTATTACTCATTATTTTACCTGCATTCATTAAGATTGCGTTTGGATTGAGAGATTTAAAATCCTTTTAAGTTTGATTTTTTTTTTTTTTAAATACAAATTTTATACTTTTAAACTCCTTGAATGGATTTGTACAAAAACATTATAAATCTATTGTCTAGCTCACATCGATGGCGTCGACTTGCGAGTGTGATGAATCAAAATAAAGAGTCATACTCGCAAACGTTGACGTTGTAGTCTGCAACGGTGGGGCAATTAGTGGATCTCAAATGACTATGCTTGAAGAGTCACTTAAGAATCTTCAAAATGATGAATTAAATCTATCTAGTGTGTTGGGAGTGATTGTTTTGATTTATTTATTTTTTCCAACTGTTGAGACTGATTTTTGGCAAAGGAAAGTGGATGAGACATAAGGAGGAAAAGAAATATCACATGGACAATAATATATTTAATAATTAGTTCTTATTTAATTTTATTTTTTATCTATATCGATTCGGTTCGGTTCGGTAAAATATGGGTTCGAAACTGATACCGAACAGATAATATTAGGTAATTGATAATTGGCTACCATTACAAGCGAGTTGGTACGGTTCAGTTTATTTTCTCGTCGGTTCAGTTTTTTTTTTCCCGAAACGATAGATGTATTATATAAATACGCACAAATGTGCAAAGGAACAACCACCGATTGAATACAAACAGCCAACGGCTGAATACAAGCAGCCAATAGCTGAATAAAAATGGGAGGACAGTCAACAGACCGCCTAGACCCGACCCCAACAGGGTAATCCTCGGGAACATAACAAAACTAAACAAACACAAAGACGACCCCAAAAGGGTAATCCTTGAGAACACTAAAAACTAGAACAAAACACAAAGATGACCCCAACAGGGTAATGCCCGAGTGTGGGATCCAAAAAGGATAATAAGGTCACACTCGGGCTAACCGAGGCCAACGGCCTAAACCTAAAACACAAGAACTAAAACAGACAAAGACACTGAAAATACAAAACTAGAACAACTAAAAAACTAAACTAAAACATATAACCCTTCCCCGACAAACGAGCAGGCCCGAACAACAGTGAACAATCGACACAAGAAGGAGTCCCAGCCCGAGAAGCCACTACCAAAACTGCAGAACCGCCTATACAGTAGCCGAAACCGGAACCGGAACCAATTCCAGAATCGACCCACCTCCAACAGAATGAAAATCGACCAACCAAACCCCACCCGCACATCTCGAGCCCGTCTAACACCACTAGCCGAGTTCAAGAGAGTCAGGATCCCAGCCCCCCTTCGCCTAACACCACTAGCCGAAACGGGGAGGGAGGTAGGTGGTACGATTCATCCACTCCGACTGCCACAAAAGAAACATCGCAGCAGTCGGGGTCTCCCCCATCCTCGAGCCTGCACACCACCGAGCAACACCACAGTACTCTGGCTAACAACCACCCCCTCGAAGCTCTGCCGGAAAACGACCTCCTCCAACTGGGACTCCAAAGCCGGCAAATCAGAGAGAGAGAACATCTTACCTACACCAATCGAAGGTCCGCCGGTGGCTGGGAGGACATTACTTGTCGTCGATAGGACTCCGACCAAAGAGACGGCCTCTTGAGACTCCAAATCGCCGTCAAGTGGAGGGTAGCGACGCAGGAGAAACGCAGCAATTTGGGGCGTACGACGACTGAGGCGGGACGAGCGGTCAGAGGCGATCGTTGGCCAAGTCCCGCCGTCGCCGGGGAAGGCTATCCGCAGCGAATTGCAGATAGGGTTTCGGCGAGAGATATGAATTGGGTTTTGGCAGAGAGTCTATTTGGGGTGAAATGCTCGTCGTTCAGTTCGGTTCAGATTTTTGCAAAAAAAAA